CATTTCAGATTTAAAGAACTTTCAGAAGTTTTCCTTTAACTCTGCTTCCTTTTGAGCAGAAATGGTGAAGATCGTGGATCTGAAAGGGCTCCCCTCCAGAGAGATGGCCGCCGAGATATCCTTTGACTTCCGGATTGAAACGCTAGGTACCATCAGTGTTCTCAAAGTTGCCGTAAACCCGACTCATCTCTGCTGCTAGCTGAGTAACGCTGCGTCTCCCTGCAGTCTGTTTGCAGGACAGTGTGCTGGCTTTCTGGAAGCATGGCCTGAAAGGGAGGAGTTACCGTTCAGATGAGGTGATTATCTTCACACCAGCGGCCCGCCACGTCGGGAACCTCCTCGTTCATGTTCGACAGAACTGGTTTTGTTTTGTGTTTCAGATAACGCAGGAAATCACAGATGAGAGCCGAGTGTTCAGAGTGTTGGGAACAAACAGGTCAGTTCAATATGGAGGAAAGAAATCAATATGTGAGTCAATAAATGTGAATAAACTACATACATCCATTCGACATCTTTCCTCTGTGAGAATACCGGTTTAGAAGAATACACGTTACAAGGACGCCGCTAAGTCACAGATTGAGCAGTTTGATTAAACAAGTCCAACCCCTGACGGAGCTGTTACACTCCCCACCAGGTGGGGGCAGTAATGCAGCTAAAGCTGGTTTATAAACAGACTTTTAATTAGAAAAACGACAAAAAGGAATCATTTTAACAAAGTTAGAAAACCTTTGCCGAGTTCAAATCCAGCGGCTGCGTCCTCCTGATTACATCATAGCGCGGCGCCGAGGTGTTTTTCGGATTGGAAGACTTCTCGTAATGCGGCCGACAAATGCGTCTCTTTTTTGAAAGACGGGTCGATTTATTCTCCGTAGCCATGGATATCCCATGATTCATTGCAAGTCACAGAAAGCCGGCTGCTCCGTGCTCAGAAGAAAAGGGGAAATGGCGCGAAATGTTTTGGAAGTGCAAGTATGTAAATAGTTGAATGAAAATAGTTGTTTTAATGGTCATTGAGTCAGAAATGTGGCGGTAATGTTTGGTTTATCGAAAGGTTTTATCTGTTACTGTGGAAATGGGTTTGGCTGGAATTTAAACTCAGATTCCAACATCTCTAACCTGACTCCGCCAGATGGATTTGCTCTGCATATCCATCTGGAAACCTTCCGTTGAAGTAATTTTGGGAATGGGCGAAAATACTGGTTAGCTGATTGGCCTATGTTGGTGATAGACGGGCCAAATAAACCAATCAGATCAACGAAGCATATGACGT